TTGATTATGATGAAATTTTTTCTCCTGTGGTCAGGCACACTTCAATCCGAGTAGTACTTACATTGGTGGCTAGTTGGGATTTGCATTTAGAGCAGATGGATGTTAAAACTGCTTTTTTGCATGGCGATTTAGAGGAGCAGATCTACATGCGGCAGCCTGAAGGTTTCACTCAACCTGGAAACGAGCATTTAGTTTGTAGATTGAAGAAATCTTTGTACGGGTTGAAACAGTCTCCGAGACAGTGGTATAAACGGTTTGACTCCTATATGATCAAGATTGGCTACAACCGATGTGAGTATGATTGTTGTGTCTATGTTAAGAGCCTTGATGATGGTTCTTTTATTTTTCTGTTATTATATGTTGATGATATGTTGATTGCTGCGAAGAACATGGATGATGTTATCGATTTGAAAACTTTATTGAGTCAGGAATTTGATATGAAAGATTTAGGTGCTGCAAAGAAAATTCTTGGAATGAAAATTTGCAGGGACAGAGACTCAAGGAAACTGTGGCTATCTCAACGGGGTTATGTTGAGAAAATGCTATAAAGGTTTGTGATGAGCAGCACGAAACCAGTTAGCACTCCATTGACAAATCACTTTAAGCTCTCATCGGAACAGTGCCCTAAGACAGATAAGGAAGCTGAAGATATGGCGAAGGTTCCGTATTCTAACGCTGTTGGTTGCTTGATGTATGTGATGGTATGTACTCGTCCTGATTTAGCTCATACTGTTAGTCAAGTTTGTAAGTACATGTCTAAACCTGGTAAGCAACATTGGGAAGCAGTCAAGTGGATTTTTCGGTACTTAAAGGGTATTGTGGGACATGGAATTATTTTTGGTAGTCAGCGAGATAATCATTTGGTTGTAGGATATGTGGATTCAGACTATGCAAGTGACTTGGATAATAGAAGATCTACGACAGGGTATGTGTTTACTCTTGGTGGAGGGCCTATTTGTTGGAAGTCTACTGTTCAATCTGTTGTGGCATTATCTACAACTGAAGCTGAATACATGGCAGCGGCTAAAGATGCAAAAGAAGCTTTATGGCTTACTGGTTTAGTGAAGGAGTTGGGTGTTCAGCAAGGTGGAGTTCAGTTGCTTTGTGACAATCAAAGTGCTATTCACTTGGCTAAGAATCAGGTGTATCGTGCTAGAACTAAACATATTGATGTTAGGTTCCACAAGATCAGAGAGTTGGTTGCATCTGGAGAGGTTTTGTTTCAGAAGATACATACTGATGAGAATGTTGCTGATATGTTCACCAAGTCAGTTACGACAGACAAGTTCAAGCATTGCTTGGACTTATTGAATGTTTCGAGTTGTTAAAGAAGTAAGGTAACCCAACCACATTGAAGTTTCCAAGGGGCAGGATATTCGCCAAGGTGGAGATTTGTTAGGTATGGCAAGATATCTTTTATTTGTAAGGAAAGTCTCATAGTGGGGGTTACGATTATGTGGGTTGGGGCTGTGGGGGCTGCGGCCCCGCAGTACGGTACAAGGTTAATTATGTAATTATATACCAGGTTTTTTATTATAAATAGAGATGTAACCTAAAACTAAGAGACATTGAATTGAATAAAACTTCTAACGCCGCCTAGGCACCGAGGACGTAAGCACATTGCCGAACCTCGTTAAAAATTCTTGTGTTCTTTCGTTTTCTTTACCCGTTTCGTCAACAACTCGACTCGACTTGACTCATTTGAATGCTCACCCCTAACGTTAGTAAAAACTAACGGGAGGTAACGACAAGAACCTTACTAAAAATGAACTAAAAGTTCAATGTCTGTACTGTAAGTTTCAAAAGTTAGGTGACCAAAATGCAAGCCCCCTTAAAGTTTAGAGACCTTTTATATACTTTACCCTTAAATTTATATAAATTAAGATAATATGAGTAGCATTAACACATAAACTATGCACTATTAATTTAAACTAAAATATTAGCTATGTACTGCCTAATCTAGTATAATATAATATATACCTATGTACTACCTAATTCAGTCCAAAATATTACCTAATCTCATAGCCTCCCAATATAGGAATACATAGGAATTAGGAAATTGCATTTTTCACATTCTAATATAATATACACCTATGTGTCGTACATATTTTTCTAAAAAAATATAGTTGAACATTTTTTTGAAATGAACGGGGACTAGTACATAAGGCTAACACTACATATCAGTGACCTGGATAGGGGATTGAGCATCAGCAGAAAGTAAATCTACAACCTCCATCAGTGGAGAGTCGAACTGGAGTAGGTTGAAATGGGGAGGGAGAGCTGTATTTGGCCAACTTGTCGGCAACTTTATTCTCCAATCGCGGAATTCATTGAAGCCAGAAAACCCAAGCATGAGAGAATAGGTTGGCTATTGCTCGAACAAGAGAGAGGTGACTACTTTTAGAATTGGTATCCGAGAGTAACTGAGCAGGTTGGACGCTATCAGTTTGGATGATGCCATGAGGAATACCTATTCTCCATGCAATAAGAAGACCTTCGTAAATGCCCCATAGCTCGGCCTGGAGGACAGAGCTTATACCGCTATTTCTGCATAAATCCGTGAGCCACGTACCATTGGAGTCATGGAGAACTCCTCCGATGAAATCATGTCTAATAACTGTCAAGACTGCACCTTTAGTTGTGAGCTTACCTATCCTGGAAGGGGTCTTTTCCACTCGGGCATGACACCATGGTTCCCTTGCTCCCTACAAGAGGTAGGGAAAGAAGATTCATATAGGTAGCCCAGATCTGATTGGATTTGATGGTTCCATCTGGGGTTGTAGGATATTGTTGAAGATTAAATCATGATGTGATCCAATTCAACATCATGTTTAATTTTGCTATTCCAACCTTTCAAGGGAACAAACTTTCTATCTTTATACATAATTATGTCTATTTCATATGCTATAACATAGTTATATTCATCTACATATATTACATCTATAGCTATAATGATAATAACTTATTCATTACTATGTGAGGCATAAGTTATTATTATATACTATAGTACACATCTTTATCTTATACACATTAATATAGTTCATATACTTAACTTATTCTTTATGTTATGTGTGTACGTACATTCGACCACAACTTGGGAGCTATATTGGAGCTAAATGGAGAAAGCAACATCAAGGAAACTTACATGGGGACGTTTAGGAGAGCATAAGGAACAATTGGTGAAAAGTTGTCCGGAGACCCGTGAGCTCATAGCTTGATTGATCTGAAGATTTGAGCTACCAGATGACTTCAATTCAGCTGGGGAGCTGCACCATCATCATCACCACTTAGAACAATTCAAATATGTCCTAAGTCAAATTTTGTGAAATCGCACCTTTTCGAGAATAGTTGTCACCTCAAGAGGTAACTTTTCACAAGGAGCTGCCATAATGTTCACCATTCTACAACTCACCTATGGCCAGCTCAGCTCCAGTTCATTCACCTTAGAACTAGCTCAAACATGAAAGGTTACCTTTCCAAACATTGTGATATTTCATGAATGATGCTGCCCATGAAGATGCCCTTTTATCAAGGAGCACGTTGGTGAAGAGATTACATCCATTGGAGGCCTAAATCACCAAGAGACATGAGACAAAGCACCATGCATATTCGGTCACCATCCACATGCCTTGCACATGGTAACTTTGGCGCCAAGATGAACAAGCATGTTACCATTCGGCCAAGGGAGATGTATCTTCATCCTTGCCGAAACATCATGACCCCTTTGAAGAGGTAGCCGAACCATCACCAAGGCAAGGGACTTCTCCTTTCCTTTAAGCATTATGTACTTTCATTAGAGACATGTATCTAACCGAAACCTTATGTGACTATTCGGCCAAACCCTCTTATTTCCTATAAATTGAGAGGCTTTCCATCATTTGTAATCATCTCATTTCATAATATAAACAAACCTTTGTGAGTTAAATCTCTCTTCAAAGTTCTTTGAGAACTTTATCGATTAAGCAAGTATATTTCTTATACTTGTGGCGTCATTCCTTCACCTTGATTCCTAAATTCCTAGATTTTATATCTAGTGGGTTGAAGACACCAACACCACCCCTCAAGCAAGTTTGTGAAGGTTAGGATTGTGTTTTCTAGCATAGTTTCTTCTTTGGCGTGTTTGAGATACAACATCACCACCATCTTCCATTCAACATCAACCATCTTCCATCAAGGCCACCAACATCTTCGTTAAAATTCCATAACCATCTCTTTTCTATCCATATTTCATTACTTATTTTTTGTTTATCCATTTCTTATTCCATTATTAATTCCATCTCTTTGTTATCTTTGTTGCAGCCATACTTATAACTCAAGGACATCAATACTTATCATTACTAGATCGGGACAACTATAAGGCTATCTATTCATTTTCATTAAAGAGTGTAGATTCAACCTACATCAAGCGGTATTCAGAGCATAGTTGAATTGACAACAAAAGTGTCATTGGCGTGCAACAACAAAAGCAAAAAGAAAAGAAGTTCAAAAAGGAAAGCAAGACTCCTACAACAAACAAAGGAGTTCAAAAACAAAAAAAAAAATCAGAAAAAAAGAAAAAAGAATTTCAAACAAAAAGAGAAAAGAAAAGCCAAGGAAAATGTCTTCAACAGACATGAACTTTGAACATTCATCTAACAGGGAGTACATTTTAATTTTAATTATGTTTAATCAAATTTTTTACTTATGAAAGTTTTCTTTCTTTTCAGATCATGGACTTTCAAAGCATTCATTAAAAGGACATGAACCTTTTCATAAAGGTACTTGTTGAATCTATTGGATGGAAGAACACTACGAAAAGAAAGCCTTTCGATTTGAGGATAAATCGATTAAAAGAAGGGGAGGATGATGTGATCTAATTCAACATCATGTTTAATTTTGCTATTCCAATCTTTCAAGGGAAGAAACTTTCTATCTTTATACATAATGATGTCTATTTCATATGCTATAACATATTTATATTCATATATATATATTACATCTATAGCTATAATGATAATAACTTATTCATTACTATGTGAGGCATAAGTTATTATTATATACTATAGTACACATCTTTATCTTATACACATTAATATAGTTCATATACTTGACTTATTCTTTTATGTTATGTGTGTAGGTACATTCGGCCACAACTTGGGAGCTATATTGGAGCTAAATGGAGAAAGCAACAACAAGGAAACTAACATGGGGACGTTTAGGAGAGCATAATGAATAATTGGTGAAAAGTTGTCCGGAGACCTGTGAGCTCATAGCTGGATTGAGCTGAATATTTGAGCTACAAGATGACTTCAATTCAGCTGGGGAGCTGCACCATCATCATCACCACTTAGGACACTTCAAATATGTCCTAAGTCAAATTTTTTGAAATAGTATCTTTTCGCGAATAGTTGCCACCTCAAGATGTACCTTTTCACAAGGAGCTGCCATAATGTTCACCATTCTACAACTCACCTATGGCCAGCTCAGCTCCAGTTCATTCACCTTAGAACTAGCTCAAACATGAAAGGTTACCTTTCCAAACATTGTGATCTTTCATGAATGATGCTGCCCATGAAGATGCCCTTTCATCAAGGAGCACGTTGGTGAAGAGATTTCATCCATTGGAGGCCTAAATCACCAAGAGACATGACACAAAGCACCATGCCTATTCGGCCACCATCTACATGCCTTATGCATGGTAACTTTGGCGCCACGATGAACAAGCATGTTACTATTCAGCCAAGGGAGATGTATCTTCATCCTTGCCGAAACATCATGACCCCTTTGAAGAGGTAGCCAAACCATCACCAAGCCAAGGGACTTCTCCTTTCATTTAAAGCATTATGTACTTTCATTAGAGACATGTATCTAACTGAAACCTTATGTGACTATTCGGCCAAACCCTCTCATTTCCTATAAATTGAGAGGCTTGCCATCATTTGTAATCATCTCATTTCATAATATAAACAAACCTTTGTGAGTTAAATCTCTCTTCAAAGTTCTTTGAGAACTTTATCGATTAAGCAAGTATATTTCTTATACTTGTGGCGTCATTCCTTCACCTTGATTCCTAAATTCCTAGATTTTATATCTAGTGGGTTGAAGACACCAACACCACCCCTCAAGCAAGTTTATGAAGATCGGGATTATGCTTTCTAGCATAGTTTCTTCTTTGGCGTGTTTGAGATACCTTTGGCGTGTTTGAGATACAACATCACCACCATCTTCCATTCAACATCAACCATCTTCCATCAAGGCCACCAACATCTTCATTAAAATTCCGCAGCCATCTCTTTTCTATCCTTATTTCATTACTTATTTTTTGTTTATCCATTTCTTATTCCATTATTAATTACATCTCTTTCTTATATTTGTTGCAGCCATACTTATAACTCAAGGACATCAGTACTTGTCATTCTCAGATCGTGACAAAAATAAGGTTATCTATTCACTTTCATTGAAGAGTGTAGATTCAGCCTACATCAGATCATTTCGCTGCTTCCAGACTTGCCAGATGGTGAAAGCAAAAAGAGAAGACCACGTAGGTTCTCCATTGGTGAGGGGTTGAACCAAATGGAGATTGGTTATGAGCCACGATTTAAGATCACTAGAGAAGAAGACATGCCTCATATCGTGAGGGACCAACCAATTCCAAATACATCGAGCACGGGAGCAGTCCCTACGAACATGGAGAATAGTTTCAAGTCCAAGACCACAAGACGAACAAGTTGGATTATCAGTCAACATACGTTTGTTGCGCTCGCAGTTCGTCATAAGCTTTTCTTTAAAGGAAAACCATATAAAAAACCGAAACCATCGAGGTAAATGGAGAGACCAAATAAATCTCCAATAGCTTTCTTTTATGTCCCATTGATCTTAGAAGTTTTGAGTATGCCGAGCTCACAAAAAATCTAAGGTCTTTGGTCCAGGGCCAAATTATCTGATTCGGGGCATCATGGCTAGTTGGAGGTAGGAATTAATGATATGAGGGATAGCATCAGCATGAACGAACAAATTGAGGGCTGTTATGGCCCATTGGCCATCGACAAAGAGAAAACTTGCAAAGCTGAGACCAGTGACAAATTGATTGGGGTCAATAGCGTGGTTTCGAAGGGGTCCGAGAGAGAGGACCCAAGTGTCCTCCCAGAATTTGATAAAATCTCCATTTCTAATCGACCAAGCGAGAAGAGGGAGGAGTTTAGGCCAAACTTTTGAGATGCCCTGCCATAGATATGAACAATGCTGCTTTAAGATCGATTGGGGACAGGTTTCAACGAACCTATATTTCTGTTAAAGCAAAGTAATCCAATAAGCGTCATTCCTAGTGAGAAGGGCGAAACCAAGTTTCATCATGAAGACCTTGTTCTGTTCATGAAGGCGAATGATTTCGAGACCAACCTTATCCATTGGTCGACAAATGTCATTCCAGCGGACTAAGAAAGTTTTAGGATGGAGAGATGAAGAACCCCATATAAAGCGCCCTATGTGTTGCTCACTGTCTTTATAGACCTTTGGGAAGGCACTAACTTGCGTAAAGTAAACATGAATAGCAGAGATGACGGATTTGGCCAAAGTAACACGACCCGCCAGAGATAAAGTTTTAATCCTATTAGTGATGAATTGGAAGTTCGAACTTATTCTACCAGTGAGGATGGGAGTGTCCATTTATTTGTGAAAGATTTCAACTTCTTGAAAGCCTAAGGCCGAGCTGATAGCAGTCCTAGTGTCCTTGTTGGTATTAGGCAAAAAATAGATTTGAATATTCTTTTTGTTCACTTTGTGACCGAAAAAATAACCAAATTATGTTAGAGTTCTTTCAATGGTGCGTGCATGGGCGATATCGACCTTAGAATACTACATAAGATCATCGACAAAATAGAGGTGTGTGATTTGGGTATTGTGACGAGCAAGCTTGAAACCCTTCCAATGGCCAGAGTTCGCCTGGTGCGAGATACATGGTCCAGGCATTCCATGGCAAGAACAAACAGGTATAGAGATAAAAGATCACATTGTTGGGCCCCTCTTTTAGGGTAAAAGGCGTAGATAAGGTGTTGTTCCACTGGATATGCATAGTTAAAGTAGTGAGACAATCCATTATGATACGGATAATGTTTGGAGGTAGGCCAGTTTCAGAAAAGGAATCCTGAATCAAATCCCATCGAAGTTTGCTGAAGGTTTTTTCAAGGTCTACCTTAATTGCCATCCATCCCTGTTTGCCTTTTAGATTACGCATGGAGTGCAGAACCTCCTGATTGATAATGATGTTCTCAGTGATTAAACGGCCTGCAATAAAAATCGTTTGGTTGGGCTTTACAAGGAGGGGCACTATGTTTTGGAGCCGTCGAACAATTGTCTTTTTAATGAGCTTGTACATGACAGTGCAGAGGCTTATAGGACTGAAATCTGAGAAAGCTTCAGGAGCATCGGTCTTGTGAATAAGGACAAGATTGGTGTGATTTATGTCTGGTTCAATATTCCCACCATTAAAAACATCTTTGATAATATTACAAACCGAGTTACTGACAACATGCCATTGCTTCCGAAAGAACTCTGCATTAAGACCGTCATGTCCGGGGACTTTCAAAGGAGCCATAGATAAGAGGGCCTCATGAATTTCAGTATGCGAACTGATACTTGCGATCAATTGTAACATCGAGTGGGGAATGCAAGGAAAACAACCACTGTAAGGAAATTTACCTTGGACGGTTATATCACAAGAATAAATGGAGTTAAAGAAGGGGACAGCTTCAAGAGAGAGCTCATCATCATCACAGCACTAGGCTCCTAAAACGAGCTTTAGGGCTAATATCCTTTTTTTTCGTTGCATTGTTTTCCTATGGAAATAAGCGGTGTTCCTGTCGCCTTGAGAAATCCAATCTAATCGAGATAGTTGCTGACAAAGAGTGTTCTCCAAATCGTGGAGTTGTTCCAACTCGATGAGAAGGTCGGCTTCGAGATTAAGCAAGAAAGTGAAGTTTTTTTATTTAGGGCATGGTGAATACCCCTGAGTCTGGCCATCACTCTTCTCTTCTTCACCCCAATATAACCAAAAACGATTGTGTTCCATTTGTTGGCAGAAGAGGTGAAGTCAGAAATGGTAGATGACAAGGTGGACGAAATGCGCCAGTTTTCTTTGACCATACAGTTGAAGTCAGGGTGCTTAGTCCACCCTGAAAAATAGCGAAACTGACGCAGTCGAGTGGTGGGATCAGCCGTACCCACACACACGAGAAGTGGGCGATGATCTGAACGCATCCAATAGAGGTGTTTAACTGCAGTGTCAGGGTAAGAAGCATCCCAATAAGAATTACATAGAACTCGGTAAAGGTGAGCGAAGTTTCGATCGCGGTTCCAAGTGAATTTCGACCCTTGAAACCCAATATCACGAAGCCCATTATTGAAAATAAAGTCCTGGAATCTTTGCTCAGATGCATGGAGTTAGAGTTATTTGGCCTATCAGACATGGTGAGAATGGCATTCCAATCTCCCATGAGGAGCCACGGTGAAGTAACGGAAGCAACAATGGCATTCAAATGGGGCCAAAGATGCTTTCTTTTCGAAGCATTCAAACTTGCATAAACGAATGTGGCTAATGAAGACTGAAGAGATACTCGTGGAACCATAAGAGACTTTACAGTGGATAAAGTGGAAGTGATTCAAAAGGATTTCCACTGGACATCATCAAACCAACATAACCAAATGCCACCCCAGAATCCGATAGCTTTAATGCGGAGAAAATACAGAAAACCAATAGAGGCGATGAAGGCATTGACTTTTCCTTCACTAGTGAAATTTTTAACAAGAACAATAAGATGAGGTTTGAATTCTCTTGAATATTGTCTAACGACCATGCGAAAAAACGAGGGTTGCCGCATTCCTGGATATTCCAACAAAGAGTCTTAAAATCAATAAAGAAAAGGGAAAATAATCTCAGTGTCCGAAAATGCCTTATAATATATGATTTTAACCAACTTTTTTTGGATTTACGAAAATGACCAACAAATTCGCAACGCGAACTCCAATTTCACAACACAGTTTCCAAATTCGCAACTCAGTTTCTGCAATCGCAACGCGAATTTCTTTCTTGCAACGCGAATTTCCAAATTCGCAACGCGATTTCCAAATTCGCAACACGTAATTTCAATTCGCAACTCGATTTCTGAATTCACAACGTGAATTTCTTTTTCGCAACACAAGTTTCCTTTTCGCAACAAGATTTTCTAAATCGCAACACGAATTTTGTTTTCGCAACTCGATTTTCGAATTCGCAACACGAATTTTAATTTCGACACAGTATTTATTTTCGCTAACACAAATGTTTTGGGTATATAAACTACGCAGCAGCAACAACTCATAACCTAAATCCCTAAATCGCAACTCATTTCATCTCCATCTATCACTCTCTCCGGCGACATTCGTTCCTATATCCAACGACATCCTTCCCCATCTCTAATTTTTTTACATAATTTTATTTCTATATAATTTTTGAATGATTTCTCTCCCAAATTATCAACTATCAACTTAATAAAGGTATGTTTTCTCTAAGTTAGTGATGATATCTAGTTTACAGCTCGTTTGTTTAGTAAATTAATTTACAATTTGTAGAATGAAATCATCTAATGTTGATCATGTTTGGATAGATTTGTGTTTTGGAGGGTCATGGGAGAATGTTCATGGTGTTTTACAATATATGCCTTTACCCATGAATCTTCAACTAAAACTATCATTAAAAAAGTTAACTTATGAAACTCTAATGTTACGTGTTGCAAATAAATTGAATTTAGAGCCCCTAAGTGGATTTAGGTTATCTTATCAGAGAAAAGGTAAAGTTTATTTGTTAACCGACAATGAAGATGTTGAACGATTCATTGCTTATATTAGTGTTTCGCAAGAAGATGATGTTACATTGTATGTTGTTGAACCTAGAAGTAGTGAAGTTGGGTCAGTAGCGGGTAGTTATCAACTAAGTTTTTCAACCCCAGTTTATGGTGCTCACAATGTACAACGTTGTTATCAACCTCAAAATTTAATGGTTCCACCACAATTTCATCACCAAGAAAATTTTGTTTCACCACATTTCCAATACTAAACACAATATCAAACACAATCTCAAAACCCACAACCTTTCCCTAATCCAAATCCCAATCAACTTTCAGCACCAAATTCCAGTTTTCGTATTGACCAGTTAGACGATGATGAGCCAACAGAAAAAATTGTGAGTACTAGTCAGTATTCAAAATTTGATCTTGGTCAATACCCGGACTTTGATCTTGGTTAATACTCAGATTTTGATGATGTTTCAGAAGAATAAACATACCCTGCGTGTAATGATTTTGATATTGGTTAATACCCGAATTTTGATGATGAAACAGCCACTGCCGAGGAAGATGTTGTTGATGATAATGAGGAGGAAGTTACGACTGTGAATGAACATGTTGAACATCTATTCTGTAATTCATATAACCATGAATAAGAAAAAGAAGAAGAAGAAGTCCCCGAAGAAAAGAAAAAGAAGAAAATGTAACGGGAGTATAACTGGAATATGCCAGAATTACTTCAGATACCGGAAGAAGAGTTGGTAAAGATAGCAGTTGATTGTTACACAAAAGTTATTCGTATCAAGAAAAATGATTATTTTGATACAAAGGAAGACTTGAAGATAACTTTGTATACGAAATATGTGGAAGATGGCTATCAACTAAAAGTTAACAAATCAAGCAAAGATCATTTCGAAACAAGGTGTATGATTGACAAAAACTGTACGTGGCGTATGATTGCAAAAAGGATAAAAGATTGTGAAATGTTTCAAGTTAGGACTTTTATTGATAAACATACATGTTCAAGAACCCAAGTTTTTCCTCACCATAGACATGCAAACAAAAAGCTGTTGGGTGGTTTTCTGGATGAGTTAATTTTTTTGAATAGCAGGGTATATCGGGGACATGAAATTATGACTGACATGAATGCTCGGTTCAATATTAGTATCTTATATTCTCAAGCTTAGAGAGCCAAATGTTATGCCTTGGAATTATTGAGGGGGTCGCCAGAAGCATCGTTTGCCCAACTGCCGGCTTATTGTCACAATTTAAAGTTGAAAAATCTGGGTCGGTAACTCATATCAAAACAAATAGAGATGGACGCTTTGAGTTGTTGTTTATCGCCATTGGTGCTACGGTTAGTAAATCAATATAATTTTGTTGACTCATTTTTGTTAGTTACATGCATTTCACATTTATATGATTATATTTCTTGTGTATATTATTTTGTAGATTCATTCGTTTATTACTTGCATGCATCCAATTATTATAGTTGACAGAGTACATTTGAAAGGTCGATATGTTGAACTATGTTTCGATATAACAATTTAAGGCAAAATGGTTTTTGGACTTGAATTGAATTTACAAAATGTATTTGGACTTAATTGAATTTATTCAAAATTTACAAAAATAATTCAAAGTTCTTTTAATTTAAAATTGAGCAAAAAAATGTTTTTATGAACAGTAAATCACTGTTTGAACAGTACCCCGAGGCTCAAAAATTCCAGTATGTAAAAGGGGAACTGATTCCCCCCAAGGGGGTACCGATTCCCTCACTGTTCATCAGCCCAACGGTCATAATATTTGAATATTATGAAGGGGTATCGATTCCCTATGAAGGGGTACCGATTCCCTCTATTCTGGGCAACCTTTTTTAGTAGAAAAATCATTCCCAAACGGCTACAAAACATCCCCAACGGCTATATACGACTTCAAACTCATTCCAAGCTATAAATACAAGCTAAGGACACTTGAAGAAACAAGAGAACAACTATCCAAGCAATCAAACACAAGAGAAGAGTTTTTCAATCTTATTTCATCTTTCTCTTGTAAATATTTTGTTCTTGTGAGCTCAATCTTGTAAACACCTACCTTAGAGAGGTTTTCTTGTTTACATTTCTTATCCTTTTGTAAAGGGGAAAGGTTCTAGCTAATCCCGTGTAAAAGCTAGGGAAAGGTTCTAGTTTAGCTCGGAAAAACTAGGGAGTTTGTAAGGTTACTCTTTATCCTCAAAAGAAAGAACAAATTAGTGAATTTGTTGGAAAATCCTTGGTGAGGAACTAAGGTAGTGGACGTAGACTTTGGTTGATAAAGTCGAACCACTATAAATCGTTGTGCAATTCTCTATCTTTCAATCTCCTTACTCCCTAAACACAAAACCGCTCCAACCCCTCTTTACAAATCATTCCGGTTGTCGTTTCGAGCTTCCGAAAATCCTAACACCTTGGAGTAAACTTATTAGCAGTAGCCATGGATGCTAACAATGGGATACTGCCAATAACTTACGGGGTTGGCAAATCTGAAACCTCTGATTCATGGACATGGTTTATGGGGTATCTTAGGGATTGCATAGGTCCTATTAGCAATATGAAAATCATATCCGATAGGGAAAACTCAATTGACAACACTGTTAGAAGGTGTTTCCCAGATGCTTTTCATGGACTTTACGGTGTTCATTTGTATAGAAATCTAAAATGAAGGTCTACTAGTATAAAAATCACAAATGGACATACTGGAAGGCTGTAAAAGCTTATCGGGAAGTGGATTTTAATAAGCATATAAATTGTTTAAGACGTGTTTTGCCTCAATGTGCTCAAACACTAGAAGATGTCGGGTTTGAAATATGGTCAAGAGTACATCAACTTGGAGAAAGATATGGTTTCATGACGTCTAATAGTGCAGAATCAATCAACGCTCTAAGTCGTCATTCCCAAAAATTACCCATTATTATGTTAATGGAGTTTTTTCGAGCCTCTATTCAACAGTGGTACTACAAGAAAAGAAACCATGCAGGTATTATTTCTTTAAATTCCTAACTTATCATATTTAATATATTTTACTAAGTATTATTTATTTAAATTTACAGGAACATTGAAACGTCATGTTACACCATGGACTAAAAAAATATAACGAAACGTGTAGTTGTATGAAATGGCAAACATCTGGTTATCCGTGTGGTCTTCATCTAAACCAAGATGATTCAAGCGCATACGCTATTGATTGCTACACTACAGAAGTATATCGACAGACTTATGCCGAGATTGTCTACCCTATTCCACATCCTTCTGAGTAGGACATACCAGATGACTTACAAACAATTTTGCCACCAGTCATAGACAGTAGGTTACCTTTCCGACCAAAAAATTACGATCGTATACCGTCTAAGGGTGAAGAGAAGAAGATATCAACATGTAGTCGGTGCAAGGGAAATGGTCATACAAGGTTGACCTGTGGATCACCAGTGTCATCACAATCATCTTTTCCTCTACCAAAATATGGATCCTCATCAAAATCCAAAGCTCATAGGTGCCAAGAAAAAGGAAATCAAAATCGCAATCACAACCGGCTTCACCTTTTGGGACTTATTAACTTAGGGGATTTTTAAATGCAAACATTGTATTATGTGTGAATGCATACATTTTCAGTTAGACATGCATTAGTAACTTGAGTTTGAACATTGATATGATATGTTCAATTGTTATCACTTATCAGATTGTTGTATGTTATCCTTTTGAAGGTGTTTTCCTTGAATTCGCAACGTGAAAGTCAAATTCACATTGCGATTGTTGCGGAAGTCAAATTTGCAACACGAAAGTCAAATTCGCGTGAATTTAACTATCGCAACAATCGCAATGCGAATTTGACTTTCGTGTTGCGAATTTGACTATCGTGAATTTGACTTTCGCGTTGCGAATTTGATTTTCGCGTTACGAAAGTGTACCTTCAACAGGTCTTTTTTGCCTTCAACATAATGCAGATTGGAAATTAAACAACAAATCAATTAAACAACATTGTAAATGAGTTGCTATATATATGTAAAACATTTGTTCACAGTATATCCAAATGCTCCTAACAATAGGGAGCTTACATCCAAATACATCAATTTGTTCACGCAACTCACTTCAGGATTAACCTGCAGAAACGTTATGGCCATGAGATTTTCTACACATCTAAAACCAACAAACAACAAATTATTGAATTCTAGGTACTTAACCAAACATTTTCAAACCAACAAAGAATATATATGTTAACAACACTTGCTCTAACTTACCAATAACAAATGGTTATTTATGCACACTTTCAACACGCGGATGCATGTAGGCAACGTCTCGAATATATCGATCTAGCCATAAAATACTGAAACCACAACCCTACTGCACCTCTATCTCTATCTGTGGGAGGTAGAAACTGTTTACCTCCTGTCGTCAAATGTTCCAAGCAGATGCATACAAGAGGACCACAATCCCATCTAGCTCCCGTCATTTGTTGTGGCGCCGTCTCGTCTCTAATAATTGTAACTTTGAACTTTTTTGGCTTCTTGTTTCCAGAATTAGTCCAATAATCAATCGCATCCAAGTATTTAGCCAAATGAGCGCTCCATCCCTTACAAATAATATCTCTCAAATCAGACAATGGTATGTAATTCAACATGATGTCATATACTATCGTCTTCAGGGATGGGAGCTGAAGCTCGACGAGAAGCCAATGACGACGTTCCGCAACAGGGATAAACACCTGCAATCATAAATAATAATTCAAGTGCACACATCAAATAAAATTTATGAACACCTTTAAAATATTCAAAAATAAATACTAACCTTATCGACCTCCCACCACGCAGGATAAATGATAGCTTTTCCATTACCCAACGCATATGAAGCGTCTCTCTGATCCTTCAAGTAAGCTACTTGAAAAGACGAAGGCATAATAGTCCATCGCGTATTTTTTATTTTCTTTAATTTCTTTATAATCAGAAGACGTGACACCCATGCATCAATATGTTGTTTTATAAAAAAATACATATATTAGTAAATTTAATAAATTTTTTATAAAAAATAATCAAAATGCAATATAAGAAGAATATAAGACTACCCCCATTCGAAATAGTCATTCTCTTCAACCCCTAATAAAACACCCCACCAAGACCGATCAAGAATCAAATGCATACTATCGTCGATTTTGCATATGTCAGCGTAACACCCCTGGCTCCACTCATGTAGATAAAAATCAACCGCGGTCTTAGCCCAAATGGTATTATCCATAATTGTGTCTGGTAGTGTTCTCCTCTCCTACTGAGGAATGGTACTGGCTGGTAACTCATACGAAAACCAAATCTCATCCATCATACCGGGCACGTGAGGGGGTTTATCAATATGTCGACATAGTATGCCATGTGAATCGGGCTCTTGAACGGTGGGAGGGATCTCTTGAACGGTGGGAGGGGCCTCTTGAATGATAAGAGAGGCCTCTTGAACGATGACAGGTGAATCGAGCTTTTTCTTACGGATTCTTAGAACTATTGGGGTGAAAGGAGACGTAATGACACGTGCACGATGTCTGATGCGTGAACCCCGTCGTGCAAGAAAAGCCCAACGTAAAGCATATACCTTATCAAGTCGCTAAAAATAAATTAATACATAAATCAGTAAATAAATAAATAAATAAATAATACCGAAAAAAGGTTATTTGCATTTTTAGTGTAGTATTAAACAAACTTACCTCATTGCATAGAGTATGAACCTCATTCTGCAACGATGAAACAATATCACGTAGAGTGGCTACCTAATCACGTAAAGTAGATACCTCACCACATAAAGCACCATTGTCATCGCGTAAAACATCTACCTTACCACGTAAAGACCGTACCTCATCACGCCATGCACCATTGGCGTCATGTAAAGTATCGACCTCATAACGCAAAGCACTGACCTCATCACGTAACTCCCCTAACTCATCCCATGGAGGTGGAGAACGGGGAGATAAATGTCATGGCATCTTTGACGGTCGCCTATCATGAGGTGATGGTGGAGAAGAGGCTCAATGATGTGATGGAATAGGTGATGACTCTCGGTGTCGAGGTGTATAATCGGCTCGATCAGGTGATGGTTCTCGGTGTCGAGCTGTAGAATCGGCTCAATCAGGTGATGGCTCTCGAAGTGGGAGGTGCTCATCATCTGTCCCATCAAAAAAACACTTTCTATCTTGCCACCAATCAGTGGCAAGCTCAGCCTCTATAATGGATAGTTTGCCTCCTAACAATATAAAAGCTCAAACAAAGTCAAACGTCTATTAGTAATAACTTGTTTATATATGGTAGTATTTGCTTTAACTTACAACATTCATCGTCGTATATGGTAGTAAATCTTCCCAATCCAACAGCCAGATCCTCCTCCAGGTAATAGCCCTAGGAATATCATTTGATTTTTTGATTGCATATGTCTGCATGATGGGAAAAGCCTCAAATATCCAAATCTACAGGCAATATAATACACAAATATTAATTTTAGTAATTGTTAAATTTAATTATAATTTTGGAAACATTATATAGAAATTCTTACCTTAAAGGCCTAAATAAAGCCTACCAAAGTGTATTTGGAACCATCGCCACGCAAACTACGATGGTCCTCAAAGGCAGACGACAACTTTTTCCAGGTAGCTTTCCATAGATATGAACCCCACGGAAACATGTTCCATGCATTTAGGTCCTCTACCAATAATATTAGGTCCTCAGAAATAGGTTGTCTGGCCTCTTTGCCTAAAAGTCGGCATTCAAAAGTAATAAAAGGCATACTCGGACAACATCAAGGTCATCCATCCGAGTAAAACCATCTTTAAGAAGTAATCTTTTCAAGTCATCGACGTGTAAACTGGGCTTCGCCTTTTCCAGCTCAGGAAAAACCCGAGATAACCATGATGGGCGGGCGATATGACTACTGTACCGACCTACTTCATCGTGTCCGAAACGTAGACCAGTGATTAAGCAAAACTCCTCCTGCCCAAAACAAGTATATGCCAGAGGAAAATGAAACCATATCTCTTCATCACCACATTGTATCCTCTCGGGTAGATCGTTAGTCATGGTTTGAAGAAACAAATGGGTCAACATAGCATCTCCACCTGGATGTTGTACTTTCAGCCATGGCCCGAAGCAAGTATCCTCAAACAATTTTCTTTGTACAGGTGTAAGTGTTGACACAATTGTAGTGGCTAGGCTTAATTTATTCCTTAAGGTCAATGAAGCCGAAAAAAATTTATACAAAAACAATAAACATACCAAGTTAGATATACCAAAAACTACAAATTATACACTATAAACAGACATGATATTAAACAGTGAAAACAAAGCCAAATATGTTTCAAACTAGCACGGTATTCACCCAAGTCATTATTCTATCACAGTTCACAAAATGCATCAGATAACATTCCAGAAGTAAGCACTTATATAAACATTTAAAAGGACAACATATAGGTTTAGTGCAGGTTCAAGGACAACATAAAGAGTAGTAGTTTATTCTTGAAACTTAAATTCGCAACACTGTGAAGTTAGTATTTGTCTTTGCTTTTTTGGTTGAAGTAATGCAATTCATTCAAGTTTCAATTTGCAGAAGAAGAGTAGTTTCTGAAACTTAAAATCGCAACGCGAAAATGAAAATGGCAACGCAAAAATGAAAATCGCAACGCGAAACTAAAATCGCGTTGCGATTTTCGTGTTGCGAATTTCATTTTCGTGTTGCGAATTTATGTTTCAAAAACTA